GCACAACACACTGTGTTTTGCAGATTTCTTGCAGATTAGGGTTGCGGGGCTCCCACCCAGGCCCGACCACTGCAATCTGCAAAAAATATGCAAAACACACTGTGTTTTGCAGCTTTACGGGGTCCCTCACCCAGGCCCGACCGCTGCAATCTGCAAAAAATCTGCAATCAAAATTTCCATCCGCAAAAAATTTGCACAATGTCTGTAAAGAGTCTGCAATCAAAAATTCCATCCGCAAAATTCTGCAAAGAACCTGCAAAAAATCTGCAATCAAAAGCTCCATCCGCAAAAAATCTGCAAATGTTCTGCAAAAATAAATATTAGAGGGGCATATAAGCTTTCCCAGGACAAGATTGCCATAACCATAGGACCTCCACAATCAAATGTACAGCGCTCTAGCATCACTCACTTGTCGAGCTTCTGCTCTGCTTGATGCCGTGCAGCTGGAGGGCCAACATCTTCTTGAAACCACCCGCAAGCTCCTGTAAGGTGAAGTGTGCGAGCATGTCCTCCAAAACTATTTTCAAAATGGCCACACTGAGCAGTATGTCCTTGCAACTCATAAACGCCATCACATCGGGTGAAGTGCATGAGCTGCCAGGTCGCCGTTTGGTGATCCAGATGCCCTCGCCTGACGAGCCTTTGTTCTGCTTGATGCCGCGCAGCTGAAAAGCCAGCGACTTCTTGAAACCAGTCGCGAACTCCACCTTAAACAGCGTGTCTTTTGCGCCCATGATCGCCATCATGTCGGGTGAGGGCAAAACCTGAATGCCCAGCTTGTGCATGGCACGCTTGCCGTTATGCACTGTTACACCAGACGCACCCATGGCGGGTGCTGGGGCTTACAATATTCCTGCCCTGCGCAGGCGATTTGGGCCCTGAACCTTTTAGAAAAATTATATACTTCTAGATTATGTACGCACGTGTCAACGTCCTCCATCAAACTTCTCGAACAACCCGTCCTTTGGATGTCGGTTCCTTGAATGCCCGAGAAGAACTCAGACACTGTAATATGCTGCCTGTCCGTATACTTCGATCTTCTTGCATTCATGCAACATGAACATTCAAATCTGGGTGTTGCGCAGGCAAGTTGCCGGCCGCCTGGACGATAGTAAGAGCACGCAGGCTTGAATTCATTTTCGGCAGCGATCGCCAACGGACTGATGCATTCGCACGTCGAATCCACATGTTCCGTGATGCTGATTCAGACAAGTCGCAAGTCTTCGCGCAATCGCCTCCAGCCCCTCATCCTATCGTAACATACGATGCAACAACACAATAAAACCCTGAAGACCAGAAATGCATGACCCACAGACCCAATGTTTCAGAGGCTCAAGTTCTGAAGGCTTCAGTCAACCGTGACACAAACACACACACACACACGTGGGTGTGTGTGTGTGGGTGTGTGTGTGTCTATAATGATCCCGGCTCAGCCAGCCCCCACTTCAGCTTCTGCATGGACCATGGGAGGTGCTGACCCCCACTTGCGGAAACCTCGACGGGTGTCAACACTCTCCACATTGAACTCTGAGCAACTGTGATCCCGTAACCCCCAGGGTTTTGAAGTTGTTTTTCGTCTCGGCGGGGATGAAACACCCAGCGGACCCGCGCAATCCTTTCACTGTAACGCAGAAGAAGAGCAGAGCGAGCCCAAGAGTAAGGGAAAGAGCCAGAAGCCAATGTGGCAGGACCAATCAGAGCCCACGAAGATGGATGTTTCGTGATGCCTTGTCCTGCGATTCTAACAGCACGTGGTTGGATTCGTCTAGCAGTTTGTTTTTGCTTGCATAACATTACCACCGGTGCTGGCTTGCAGGGTGAAGGTTGAAGTCAAATCCTGTGCTGACGGAATCGTTCTGAACACTGCAAATCGAATTTAAGCTCCCCTTCTGCCACATTGGCGGTTCGATGCGAGAAAGCGAGCACGGCTGCCGTCGTGCTTCGCTTACGCAAGTGGAGTTGATGGTTTTGACAAGCTCACTCCAAGAGTGTCAAACACCTCGCCGACGATGCTTTTAATATCCTAAACCAGGAACTGCGCTGAGCCTGCAGCAGTGATGTGAGTTCGTTTGGTCAACCGAGGTGTACTGCAGATGCCATGCTGCCAAGTAGCTGCAAGAGCCTGTAGCTGCGTCATGCCGATTTTTTTAGATTGCATCAGGACATGGCATGTTGTTTGCAACGGAAGAGTGTTTTGTGTCCTTGGCGCACACAGGCAAATTCAATGAAGTACGCAAGTGCAGGTTGCTTCCTCGTATGTGGCGCAAAAAACCTAGCAGCTGTCACACGACAGTGTCATATGAGAAGCCCACCCCCGCGCCTTGACATGACTAGCTTAGCCTGCTATTAGTTGTTTCCGGGTTGTAGTATTGCTTGGTTACAGTCATAACACGTGGATTGATGATTTTCACTGTGTGCAGTGGACACAGGGTCAGTCCGAAGAGTGTAGTGCAGAAATTACAGCGAGTGGTCGCAAGAGAAGCCTATACAGTACTGCAGACATCTTCCTGTTGCACAAGGAAATAGTGACGAGTGGTGATTTGTCCTTTGCGGGCTGTCCATGCGTCATGGAGTGATCTTGCTGGTTAGATGCCCGGAGCTGCACACAGTCTTGCTACGGCTGCCACTTGGCACAGCGACTTTACCGCCCAATTTGCGGTTGTTGTGCTGGTGATTTGGCCGCAGATGCGGCAATTGCCCGGCTGTTGGAGATCTAAACCAAAGACAAAGAGACCTCGTTAATCCTGTCACCGAAACCCTGGACCTAGACCCTAAATTGAAGCCCTTTAAAGCATGAGATCTGAAAGCTTAAATCCGGTTGGTCCTTTCCTCTGACAGTCCCAATTGTCGAACCAGGTTTTGTCCATGCCTCAGCTGGCCATAGGCCTGACCTGTTGGCAGAGCAACGGCTTTTCGGAATGGGTCATAGTGATCATCACGTACTGTGACATCTAGTCATAGGCATGTCAGAATGTATCACGGTTCTGTTGTATGGAGAACAACAGCAGCAATAGCAACACGTGAGTCAGACAGTTGTCATGTTGCCGTTGTCTCCTGAGTTGATAGGGCACCTACCGCCACAGAACATGTACAGCACTGAGACATTGAATGCTTCTATGTGGTGACTTTGCACCTGGAGAGCCTCGGAGAAGAAACAGCGTGCACAGTGACTGCCAGCATCGCGTTTTGGCCACAGTGGGTCCTAGTCGATGCATCCGCAACGGCCGAAGGTCGATTTCATCGCTCAACTTGGCGATTTTGTCGACGGCTGCAATCGGGCTACCGCAGGCATAATCACATGACTCCGTCTAGTGTGCAGCGGGCATCTGTCTGAGAGTAGCTTACCAGGCAGGGAAGCGACATTTCGTGAATTCTGTGGTGGCAGGCCATGGCCACAAAGCCCTGCAGGACATGCCAGGGGGAGGCGTTGGGGTCAGCTTTGAGAGGAAGGGCTGATTCAGATAATGACCTGACTTGACAGCTTGAAATGAGCAGAAAGGTCGTCACCTCAGGCAGGCTCCATTTCCACGACCACCTGTACTAGCACCGAATGCGGGTCGGAGGTCATAACCAGGCGGTTAGGCGATGACAGTTTCGAAGCTGGCAGAGGTAAAGCTTGAGCATACCTTGAGTGCTTGACACCCTCCAAATCTTCTTACATGTATCAGTTGTATATATTAAAGGTTAAATGAGTTCAAGACTTATATGTAAACATACATACATGCATGTATGTATGTACGTATGTATGTATGTATGTGTGTATATAAATATATGTGTGTATGTCTATATATATATATATGTATATCGATATCGAGAAATGTAGTAACATCTGTCTGGGCAGCCAGTCAGGGTCGGCCTTCCCGACCTGAAATTGAGCTTCCCTGGCAGCCTAAACCCTTGAGTGCCGAAGAGGACTTACTGCTCCCTCTTGAAGGCGGCCCGCCCACGCTTCATCTGGTAGGTTCGGCGGCCTTGCTGTATCTTCTCGGATTTTGAGGCTCCTCAAACTTGGCGACCTTCCCTGAGTTTGAGGCAACCACGAGCTCTACAATTTTCCGCGAAAAGAGATGGAGGAGGGGATTGCTCTCCCTGAGCTCTCGGAACCCTACAGGACTGCCAAAGGTGCCGATCGAATAGACCACAGAGAGTGTGCCTGGTGCTAGGATATCTGCACCACCAGTGCTGGATCCCGAGGCCAAGCTGATTCAAGTTATATAGAATATACTATACTATACTATAATAGTTATAATATAATATAACATAATATAACGGAATTGAGCCAAGCCTCTATGCTGCCCTGCATGTTTGGAACAGGCTCCTTCAAGCACAAGTTCCTACTACAGCAGATGCCTCGGTGACAGAATCCACGTGTGGATGCGTTGATGTTTGGTAGCCGATGAGAAGGTCGTACCGTCGTACCTGCAAGATCTCAATTTAACTGCAGCTTTCATTACATGCCAGGCTTCTGCCCAAGCCATGGGTGGCGAGTCTGTGTGCGAACCTCTCAGACAAGACTTTGAGTCATGAGTGCGATGTCGAATTTCATTCTGTCCGTGGCTTGTCATCGAGAAAGAAGTTCTGCCCAGGTTGGATCCATACGAGATCAGCACATGCCTCGGTCATTGCCAGCATACACTCGTGAGGTCTGACGAATGTAGGGCCTTTGCTTTCAATCTGAGTTTCGGTTAAAGGACGGCAGCGCATTGCACTCCATCACGGGACGATAAAGTCTGGCAAGCTGTGATAGGACCACTCCCTGAGCCCCAAGCAACAAGGTATCATGAGCGGCGGTGGCGCTCGACCGGGCATTGATGCCGATGCGGTGCGCCCGAAAGAAGACTTGCAGAGCATCCTTGACATACGGGAGCTTAGGACATATGGGGCACTAATGCAAAGCCTAAGCAGCTAGTAGGATCCTTACTGCAAGGACCCCGAAGTAAGGTAATTGTCGCCGAAAGCGCCAGGAAACCGCAGAGTGCAACTTGGAAGTTAGTCCATTGCCACTTGCTCCGGACCAGCACGACGCGACGACGAGTTACTATTACTACCGGCACTTCCACCAGAGTTCACACAAAGTCTCCATTATGCTCTTGAGCTCCATGGTCACCATTGGGTAGGGCGCTTCGATTCAAGCTGCAAGCTCCGGTTGATGCGGTCGTTCGAGGGTAGTTCACCGTGGCCATGTTCCGTTTTGGGGACAGCCGCACTGCTCCAAATACCTAGTTGTACATCCGTCTTACGCACATGTATACACACACCCATATGAATGAGAAAACACACTTAACTGCTGACATACATACGTACATACCCCGCAAGCTTACAAATGTATGTGTACATGCATCTACAGAATCGTGCAACAATAAGTAAATAAGTCTATATGTATGTATGTATGTATGTATGTATGTATGTATGGACGTACGTAGGCATGCACGTAGGCAAGTCGGTATGCATGTATGTGTCGGTATGTATATTTATACGGACCCAAATCAGGCGGAGAAAAAGCCGAGACCTATGTGCATATGGGTAAGAATATGTAACATGTGTATGTATATGTACATGTCTATGTAAGCATATCTGCACATGCACAGTATAAACACATAACATAGATGGATAGGTAGACTTATAGATAGCTACGTAGGTAGTAGGTAGGTAGGTAGATAGATAGGTGGATAGATATGAGGCGTGCACATCTGTGTGTTCTTGCTTTGTTGATTTTCGTTCCGTTCCCTGAATCGTGGTCGGTTGTAGTGGTAGTGGCCGTGATGTTGACGGCGAGCGGTGGTGGTTGTGCTGCGCTGCGGCTAGTGACGTGATGAGGCTGATGATGATCTCGAAGATGATTGTCATTCTCATTGCCAGGGTTCTCGTCGTTGTCATGACCATCGCTACCGCCTTGTTCAGGAGTTGGACTCGTATGCCGTGGAGCTGTGCCAAGTTGCGGGCTCGGTGAAGCTGTCGCAGCCTGTTCCTCCGATCATTCGGAGCCTGTCCCCATGCACTGGAGAGCTTGGTGGACTTTTTCCGAAGACTGGTAGATTGCTGCCATTGTTGCTCCTGGTGTATAAGTTTCCAGATTCCGCCCAGTCACTACTGCTGGTAGGTTCGTGCTGCCTACCCAAGCTTGAGACGCATGGACATGAACCCCTTGTGGTTTCCCCTAGGTGCCGCCCCTTTCCCTTGTTGTCTTGATCTCTGCTGAGCATTTTTCTGGACACTGCGTTGGCCTGCATAATGGCTGTAGGCCTTTGTGTTGCTTGCGCGCCTTTCGAGGCATTCCCGGCCCACGGTTGGGTGCAGTACCCTTGAGAGTGAGCTTAGGCTGTAAATTTTTATCGATTCGGTTTCGGTTGGCATAGGGACGTGAGGCCCTCATGTCACTTTCCTGCCTTGAGGACTCATCAGCTTACACTCGGTGCAGTCACCTTGCGAGTGACCCGTCATTGCTTCCGCGCCTCTCGAGGCATTGTGTCTTGACATGGCTGGCCTTTGTGTCAGCTCTTTCGCTTTTGACCCATGGGTGCAGTATCTTCGGGTGCTGTCATCGTCAAAACTTCCCGACATGAACATCTCGCTGAGGCGAACAATCCAAACGACATCACGAAAGAGGACTCAGTGCTGGTGTACCTGCTTGGTGCATAGTGTGCAGCAGGAGCCACGGAAACGATTCACTGCATTCGCTCGCACTGGCCATGCAGGCTCGGAGGCGGTTGATTGGTTGTGCGCTTACTTTGGAGGACTTCGCACGTGGCATCGCGCCAGGGCCTGCTACAGACTCAGCTCCAATTAGCCATGTTGGCACTACAAGAATGGGCTCCAGCTGCTTCAGCCTACAGATGTTACTACATGGCCGGACAAGTCCAAAACGTGTGGACACCGAGTTGTTCGTTTCTGATTTGCGTTGCCCAGGCCCTTCGTTGGGTTCCTCTGAACGGTGCCGTGAGCCAGAAGCAACTGCGGTGGCTAGAGGACCGGTTGCACGAGCATTACCCGAGCAAGCTACCGGACAAGTGATGGTGTGGTATCACTGTGATTGGTGGTTGCTAAGCGTGCGGGGGTCTACTCTCGCCCGGCAGCTGTTTTGGCTTTGTGCACAAGCCCGACACACCCTCCGGGCGCACAGGTTCCCTGCAGCCTCCATATACATTAATTAAGCGGAGTGGCCGGTTCAGACTTTACCGGATGCTGCTTGCCTGAAGAGATCCTCTTGGCTTAGTTGCGCATGGTTGTTTAGAGAATCCTATGCTGGTCTGGCCAGCCATTCAGAGATGAGCATTCTCCGCACACGGAAGCTCGGAACTCCAAGAACACGACATCAATGCAGGTGTTGCCAAGCCAATCCTGCAAGTAAACCACAGACCATCTCGTTCAGTTAGCATTGACTGTTGAACGACATAGAACTGCGGTTGCATGGGGCCAAAACTGCCGGTGGTGTATCTTCTGCAAGCAGCCGCCACATCAAGTCTTCCAAGCAGCTCCCCAACTCCTCGACCAAGATCCATCTTCTCGCAACCTTCCAGTAGGCATGCTTCAACAGTAGAAAACCTAAACAACCCCTAAACCATCCGAAAACCCCAAAGCGGCCGAACAAAAAGACACCCCTCCTCTAGGCTACTGCGCAGCCTGTCCTTTGCTTACGCCTTTTTGGCGGCACTCGGCCGCCGCGGCCCGAGTTCGCAGAGTCAGAGCAGAGTTCGAACTTTTTGGGTCTCGAAGCCTCTTCATTATTATTATTATTTATTGGCTATTATTAATACTGTTATTATGAATATTATGATAGATGTTATTGATATTGTTATTGTTATTATTAGTTATTGTTAAGTACTATAAATTATTATAAGTTATTATTAATCGTTATGTATTATTATAAATATTATTAATTATTATTATTGTCCCTCCAAAGCTGGAAGAGGCTCCTCTCCGGCATTGGCTCCCTTGGAGAAGGACGATGCCTGCCTCTCCTCTGAAACAGGCGGACAGCATGGCGGGAAGAAAGAGCAGAGGAGCTAGGTTTAGGGTTGGGGGTTTAGGGTTTAGGGTTCAGGGTTTAGGGTTCAGGGTTTAGGGTCTAGGGTCAGCTAGGAGCTGCTAGGACCAGAGTTGAAAGCTTTGCCTGACAGGTTCTTGCGGCTTGCATGCTCTGCAAGTCGGACTTGGCAGCCGTCCGAAGAACGATCGAAACAGCAGCAACATCAGCGGCATGGAGATCACCATCGGTGTGATACTTATTGATGAATTCGGGGTAGACTCTGCTTGGAGAGTGCTTGAGAGCGAGAAAATTGCAAAGCTCATAGCCTTCTAGCCTGGGGCTAAGGTCTCAAGACCCAGACTGACACCGAAGATCAAGGCGCGACGAGTGTCAACATCAATCTCTCTCTCTCTCTCTCTCCCTCCCTCTCCCGGGCGTAATGAGCGTTCAGGNNGCCCCCGGGGGGGGGGGGGGAATTCTCGCCCAAACGCTCCTTTGATCAGATTACTGTTCTGCAATAGCCGTGTTGATCTCCGGGCGTCTGCGTTATGATCGATCTTCAGCTTGACAGTTGCAATACTCGGGGCAATGTGATTCACCATCCAAGGTCCAAGAACGTTCTCGTCAGGCAGCAGTAAGGACACCAACATATACACGCACACAAAAAAAGCTGATACGGATGTTCGTACAGCAGGAATAAA